TTGTTTTAAGCGACTTTGCTTTATATATTAGTAAGATTAGTTGTGCAATTCTTTTAAATTGTGCAGCTGGCAAAACCATATGAAAGAGAAACGTTGCCTTGTTTCAATGAACTGATGTGCACTTACTAATGCTTGTGTGATAATTTACAAATTTCTTCTTAGATGTTAACATAGATGACAAAAATTGTTAGGCAATTTATAGGTTTAGTCATTTTTTTCATTAACATGCAATAAAGTCAGCATGTGTAAAGAATTATCTTCTCTACAAAAAATAAATGTTATGTCTCTTACGACTTTTATTTATTTATGATTAGCTTAGGCTGATTTTGAGCTAATATAAGAAGTTACATTTTAAAAAACCAAAGATTGTATTTTGCATATCATGTAAAAAGAGAATTATTTGTTGTATTAGGTAAATAAACTTAAATTTAAATGTTTCTCCTTTTTATAATATAATTGTTAAAAAAACGTATGACTAATAGATGGGGGCTGGCGCGTGGAGTGCAAAGATGGCAAAGCCCCCTAGTATTATAAATAAAGTAGTAGAGAAGTTAGTCAGTCTGAATTCTATGTGGATACTGGCTAATCTTGTTCTTGTCACTCAAAACACTCAATCATCATGTTTTTTGAGAGTGCTTAATCCCAAAATAAAAATTTTTTTGCTTATAATATAACTTTTTTATACTTTTTAAAACTAACTGACTACTAAGTTGAATTTTTTATGAAACTGCAGCTATCTTGGTAAAATGTAAAAAGACTACAAATTGAAGAATTATTACTATCTCCACGTGACTACATAAATTTTTAGACTAAAATACATATATGTATACTCCTTACACTTAGTCCTTTGTCATCAAATAATATTAGGATTCAAACTTAGTAATATGAAGCATAACTGTTTATCAACAATATATTTAAATTAATTTTTATTTCGCTGTCTTGCTGACAGCATCTTCAGGATTAAGAATCATGTAGGTGCTAAGAGAATGTATTGGTGATTTTGCCTTAACTTGCTCAGATCAATTCGAAAAATTAAAAAAAAAAAAGTCTTCGCAGTATTTTTACTGTACACAACATTAGTAACAAATATCCGAAGCAATGCAACTATAAAGTTTGCTGGTCAAAAGTTATACGAAATTTTATAAAAGTCAGTTTTCATCGATTTTCAAAAAATTGTATCACTTTCTAGCATGAGTAGCTGAGCTCTTTCAACAGTTCCAGTATTCTTACTAGGCTGAAATAAAAGCTAGGATAAAGACCTATTGGTTGAAAAAAAATTTTGTTCGATTTTGTGCCTCCATTCAAAAGTTACAGCTATTTTTATTAGAGCGTAAATATCGCTAATAATGTGATTTGCGCCATAATTCAGTATTTTCCATAAAATCCCAATAACGTCTCATTTGGGATATGAAGTTCAAGGATTTCTGTTTTAATTGTTAGAACTATGTTTTTTCTCTTATTTAAGCCCAGATAAAGCTACCTAATAGAGTGCACCACTTTGCTACCAACGTTAGAAGCAGCACTACCTTTTTTACATTTATGTAGCGAAAAAGGGCCAATTGGACGAAACTCTGAGACATATGTCTCGATTTTTAGCTCAATAGTGATCAAAAATTAGTTTGGCTGGTATTAATTGTTCTCAAATAAGAAAAACGGTACTTTGAATTAAAGCAGCCTCGGAATGGAGAAGTTCCGAATGGAATTTTCAAAGTTTGTAGTGCTCGTACGACTCATAGACGTATTACAATGACTTGTCCACCCATACTTTACTTACTAACCTCAAATGTAACAACTAACTGTAGTCTGCGTACCTGCACACGCACACTGAGTGGTTATTCCATGGGGGTCGGAATGGAATGAAATGTTAGTACGCGCTAATTACGCAAAAAGAAGACCTTGGTGATTCCAGAGGAAAGAACTTCATCCATGAACAAGGTACTACTGTTGTAAGGATTTATTCATTTTAGTCCTATGATTCAAAAAGTGACCATTGGTTAGCATTTCCAGTCCATAAAGTTACTAGTTTGAAATGATTTTTGTTAAAACCGTAAGTATGGTGCAAATATGCGGACAAAATATATGCAGTGAAAACTCACTTAACTTTGTCAATTTTTAGTGTGACTAAGGTAGACATCTTATAACTAATAGCTTGAGTATATATTGCTTGTTTGCCCAAGTGGCACATAATCTTTACTGTTTACTGATAAAAGCTTTAATGAGTGAGTACTAGTTAAAAATATATGATAAAATTAATATTTAAATTTAGTTGCAGGGAGTTGGTAAATATTTCAGAGGGGATGTTCTGTTACTATCACAGGTTCATCAAGGTATTAAGTTGACGTTGCTTGTATATAAGTGCAATAAAGAATATGTTATGTTTTTGCCGTGCACTTATATGTTGTCAGCAAATTTTTAAAACCTAACTGAACCATCAAAACAAATAAAATGTATTTATAACCTTGCTAAAGAGCAAATTTTCTGTTGGTTTCGCTACATGTGCAACATTACAACTTTAGGTAATTTACTTATCTTTAGCCGATTTTGACGTTTCAAATGATAGGTATTAGACCATTGCTGCGTAAAGATTGGGTTAACTTGATTAAAGACTTCTACTTATTTTAGCCCATTCAATTTGAAAGTCAAAATTGTTCTTTAAAAAACTTACAATTATCTTGGTAAAAAAGAGATCTTACAACTTATTACTGTATTATGTGTTCAATAAGAGTAGTACACTACGCTCCAACAAAAAAAAGGATGCTATTTCATTCTGGCATGTAAGTGGAGCCTAAGGGTAGTTAGAACGCCAAACGCCAGAGAAAATGGTATGCTTTGCTCCTGGCAAGCGTATAGGATTTTTTACGTTAACTAACAGAAAGTTCATTCAATGTCTCATAATAAACGAACCTAGCCAGATATAACGGATTCTTTTTACCCAAAGTCCAAGTCATAGACATTTCTACTAAACAACAAAACTACAACCAATTAGAGGCCAGTATTTAAAAATGCACCCATTAAATACTGCCATGTTGAGTTTCCTGCACTAGGTCAAAACAGATTGAGCCAGTTAGTAACGTATGTAAGTGTCATTTAAAAGCCTTAATCGCTAGTGCAGACACAGTTTCAACTCCTTCATTTCAACTTGATGTCAGACCAGAAATGCAAAATTATGTTTTCAGTGTAAGCCAAGCACCTGAAGAAAAATTCCATGTTACTTCACAGATTAGATTTTCTTTCAATAAATACTTTTAAATATCATGGGGCTCAGTATAATATGAATTTGTTTAAGAGGTAATGATATTCTGTTTATTTGTGTAATTATCATAATTTTATCGATTTCCTTAACACGATAGCAATTAAATAATGAATGTTTGTAAAAAAACTTGTTTGTATCAACAGTGATGCAAATTATTTTTTTTTGTTAAAGCATATAAATACATCTGATTTAACGATCTTAAGGTTTCTGACAATACAGCTAAAAGTCATTATTACTGCATGCACTATATTATAATTGTAGACCACAACATATAGTCTAAATGACCCTTCTTTAATAACAGAGTTATTATTTTTCACGTACTCAGATCATAAAAGTAACGTACAACTTACATAAATTTTCATTAAATAGTTTGTTAGTTAATGTATTCTTAGAAAATTAATTAGTAATGAATAATTATTTATCGGCCAGATTACTGAGTTAACAAGGGATGAGGTTTACAGATTATATCAAGGGCACTCCAAAAAAACTTTAAATTCTCTATCTTATCGATAATATTTTGTCAACAGTATAGCTGTGTTACACAATTCATTGTTAGTAGCGGTTTTTGTTGATTAATATGTGAATAAATAAATTCCGCATTAAAGCATCTTTTAGTCTTGACACATGGTCAGAAACATTTCAAATAAGGTTCGGTTTTAGTCATCTTTTATCTTATTTCTCTCTTCTTGAGCTCCAAATCATGTCAGCTTGGACTGTTTGTTCTTATAAAATAGCCGTTTACTTTTATTGTTGGGCTTACTAGCTAAGTAGCTTACTGAAAACAAATGAGTAATTTATAAAACGTAAACAATCTTTCGATTACCTCACTTGAGTATTTATAATTTATATTAATAAGGGACATCAAATTTTTACGAAAATCATAGAAACAATACGAATACCAATATGTTATTGTTACACCATAATACATCTTATTGTTGGTAATGAACTTGATTATTAAAAGAAGATATGTACTTATGTTTTGTTACTGAGAAATCAAATTTTATATGTGACAACTTATATTATATTGAAGACATTTAGTTCTTATGCAAAAGATAGAAATTCCTACTATCCCTAGCTTAGCAACACTACATCTTGTCTGGCTTTGTTCAATGGCTGTGGCTATGAATAAAAGCCGCAACGGTTTATCATGATTAAGAATATTATAAGACTTGTGTCCTTTTAATGTCATAACTGTTATTAGATAATTTAAGAACACCTCACAGTTACCCAGGAAAAAATAGCAGAATAAGGTATCAAACCTCAGCCCTCTAGATGGCAAGCAAGCCCTCTGCCACTTAGCCACTAAGAACTGCTAGCCACACTATATGCAGTTTAACATGAGCAGAGAGAGCCAAAAAAAACTGTAGTAAATGTTACATGCTGCTGGTAGCACTGTTGATTTTTAGAACACACCTTTCCCTACTATATGTAGAAAAATTTTGGCTTGCAGCTCACTTAACGACTAGACCATTTCGCTATTACTGAGCCTGAAAAATCCCCTTTTAAGCATTGTGAGGCACACATGTCTCATTTTCATTACTTAAAGTCATTTCTGATGTATATTTCTTGCCAAAGCTGTAAAATAGAACGGAATATGCTTTACTAAATAAGAATACATAAAGCTTACCAACAAATACAGTTCTATTTTGCTACTTTAAAACATACGTATTACCTTATCTTTCAGAAATGTAAGTTTTTTACAACCTTCTATAAAAACGTTTATGTGTATACGTATAAATTTTTACAGGCTAGCATAAAGTCAAGACTCAACAATGAAATGAAGTTCATAATGAACTTTGGATGTTCGTCGAAGCCCACTAATATTATACATGAATAAAATAGGTAGAAGATCTGGATTAACATCCGTGCTATGTATCATACGAGAAAAATTACCAATCATTTTTTTCCATTCTATTACTTCAGAATATACTGGTGTCTATTTGAATTATTATATTGTATGCATATTAGTTATAAATAAAGGCTCTAAAAACTAAATTGGTATAAAAATTTCTTCATCGAAACTTTAAATTTCTAAAGATTCTTTCGGTATTTAGGAGAAAGATAAATCACATAATATAAGGTAAGACAAATGTTACAATAATCTACAATGTTAATTTTTTTACAATAAATTTTAAGTCAGCTCGTTATAAGAGAAGCAACATTGATCATAAAGCAGTTATGAGATATATGCAAGTGCATGTCCGTAAGTTACTCATTTTTGGTCTATTAAATAACTGATAAGAATTAAACCTTACAAAGAGGTTTCATATAATTTGCAATGATAAGTAAGAGTATAGCTAAATTGTTAATTTCTAATAAGCACGTTTAAGAAGTATTACATTTGTAGTCTAACATCAGGTATAAGAAATTTATTAGGTCACAAAAACCGTTAAACCGTAGGCTGAAAGAACATGTGTTTAGTTTACAACTAACTACGATGACTAAGAGTCACATTTTGTTTGCTAACAATAAACTTTCTCTTAATTCTATGATTTTCTACACATGTTTCTTTCTTTGCAATAAACTGATTCAGCCAGCTACATGTTAGTGTTTTTGCTGGGATGTATCATTGTATCGGAAATTCTTGCAAGATGATACATAAAAAAAAGCAAATGTCCTTACGAAATGCTCTAATAAAGTTAAAGCAAGAAGCCTGATCACAGCAACAACAGTGTCAGCAGAACAGTGTCAACAGAAGCCGTGGAATAAGCTTTAAGATTAGCCAAAGTGCCATGGCAACGACAAATGACTCAGACATTGCCGATGACCCTAACCTCTAGGACAGCTGTGATCACAATAAACCGTAGTTAACGACGAGGGATAGCAACTGCCACCGCAACCTTTAGCTCCAGCTCTAACATGAATTCAAATACCAAGCTGCATGGCTATCTCCCCAACCATCTGATTCTGCTAAGTGGCAGTGTATACGCATACGCCGTCTCCTTAATGTCCTGGTCCTATGAAGTGGCAGTGCATTTGGGCATGCTGCATTCTTGTCATCTATTTCCTTATTTTCATGATTTTCATGATCAACTAAGAATTTGTGCATACTGCATTCTCCTCTCTCTGCAACTCATGTACCTGAGGCTGCCCTGAGGTCGTACACACCATGTTATTTGTTTTTTATTTCACAGAAGTAAAAGAGTCAGGCAAGCGTGCGAATTACATTTTTACGTGGCAACGCAAGGGTGCAATTTATTGTATTGCATCTTCTACCTATTTCAGTTGCATCCTTGTAACATATTTACTTTTGTTGTGATTTCGTGAACTTTTGTTGTTGTTATTAACGTCTTACATAATAATAACAAAATTACAGTTATATACTAGATCAATAAATTGTTATCTTTAGTGAGAGCATTTAATTCTTACGAGTTCTTACTAGACAAGGTATAAATAAAAATGTTAATTCAAACTGATTTGTCCAAGAGCTTTGAGTCTGAATTGGATTTTGTTTTTAAAAATGGTAGTCTTGCTAGCCGTGATACTGACTGGTACTCTACCGTAAACATAGTTGAAAGCCGTATAGTGGGAGAGAGACTTCTGTTACCACAGTTTTCTGGAATTATCTGAATTAAAAAAGTTATTTCAAAAGAAGTTTCCTTTGCTTTTTATGAAGTTGGCTCTTGGACAGAGAGATCAAAAGCGAGATCAATCTGTGGCATGATTGGCAGTAATACTCATCAAGAAATATTTGGTTTGAAATAAGTTATAATTTGAAGCATACGTTATTTAAAAAAATTGATTTCTGTTAATATTCAAGTTTAGAACTAAAAACTTCGATTTTATTATAAAAATTATAAAAATTTTTTTTAAACTTTTTATACTATTTTTTTAAACTCAGTTTATAAAGGTAGTTACTTTAACACTCCTGATTAAAAGACGCTGTTTGTATAAGCTATAGTGTTACGAAGACTCTCTGATAGTTTTCAGGAGCATATCATCTATGGATCCTAGGTGTACGTTGTAACAAGCGTAGAGGCTTGTTGCAGACAATCAGCTATGAAGCCATGGTCTTTACGTATTTTAAATTGTAGAATGAAAGACTATCATTTTTCTCAGTCAACTTGTTTTCTACAAATCAAATGGGCCTGTCAAAAATGAATGAGCCTCGGAAAAAAGATACTTTAAATATATCTTCTATGATATACTTAAATTTATTATAAGCAACATTTCATGTGGAACATAAGGCATCTTACCTCAGCAACGGTTATCTATACTCTGAATATATGTATCGTCATCAAACTCCTACGCATTCTGAATTTCTAGCATTTCTGCATCACGTGCGTAATTCCAAATTTATTTGTATTATAACACACCTCCGTAAATTTAAAATTTTATCATGTTACAAATTTTAATTAATTAAATTCTCATTTGAAATCAATTTTAAATCCTTTTTAAACTTAACAAATGTAATTCTCCCGAATGCATTAGTAAAAACGTCTGCTTTATTATCTTTTGAGTTAAATTTAACTATATTAATTGTAACGTTTGAATAATTGTCGTTTACAAAGTGACAGAGTGTTTTGATATATTTCGAGTTTTTCGTATATTTACGAAATTCGGCAATACTAATAGCACCAGAGTTATCTTTAAANCTTATCTTTTTAATACTTCACATACTTTTTATCCATTTTTAATTTTAGCCTTATTTACAAGTGATTGTCACGTGCCTCCAAAGAGACACATGAAAAGTCAAAAAAGACCGAAACAGGCAACTTAAACTACAAATTTCTGCTACTATGTTAAAAATAAATGAGCCTGGGAACATAAATACTTCAAACAAACCTTTTTTAATATACTTAAATTTATTTTAATTCCTATTTCATACTTAACATAATGCATCTTGCTTCAACAACGGGTATCTATACTCTGAATATACGTATTGCCATCAAACATATATCAATTACGCGAATCAAGAGCTTCTACGTATGATCAATGCCTAGGATTTTAGCGTCGCGTGCATAACTTTAACTTAACTTATATTTGAACAGGGCCTACTCATAAAATTAAGACAATTTTATTTGTCACAATTATAAATTTAAGTTGTTCGATCTATGGAGCTACTTATACCTCTACCACATAACTTGTGTTTTTTTTATTTATCAGTATACGGTTAACACTTTAGTTGGTACAGGAGGAAAATGTTTCAGACCAATCAAGCACATACTTAAAATTAAAATTTAAATCAAATGAGAAAAATGCTTTTTAATATAAGAGACGACCATTCTTATAAAGTAAAAATGTTTTTAATTTGTTTTTGAGAAAAAAAAGTTAAGCTTGTGATGAACTACAAGACTACAATAACTAAAAGTAACATCGTGCTTGCAATGAATAACTTTTTTCTCTATTCAACGATTTTCTAAACATGCTTCTTTTTTCCCGTGAAATTAATTTTGGCAGCTATAAAACACTGAAATAAAAGCAACAACTCAAAGTTTGTTGTTATTGTATGCCAAACAATGTATTAACTATTTGATTATCTCTCACATCACGTAGAGTTAAGATCTGTTAAATAGCCCTTATTTGAAATAAAGACACTTTTAATATACGATCAAATTTTTGTTCTAAATGCGGGATATATACAGTAATGGTTCACGAAGAAATTTTTTGCCATGTCTTTTTAATGGCTAATTATTTTTATCTTTGAAAATATATTTTTTATCTTATTAAATAGGAAGTAAACGCCCTTCTAGCAACGAAATCATCGACATTATTATCGTTCCCTTGACAACACTAACTTTCGTACGTACCCTGTGTCAGTTGACGAACAAAAAATTGTAAAAAAGTATTACAATAAAATTTGGTGTATTTGCAATTGTAATGCCCAGTAGAAGCTGCAAAAAAGCTATCATTTATCATTATTTACAGTAACACGTTTTAGTATTAACTGATTGTTATGAACACATGTCGAGTAAAACTCCCATAAAAATTTTATATAAAGTTCACCTTTCAAAAGTGTTGGCTAAGGTTGTGTTTTTTAAGTCAACTGCTATTTTTACTACTTCTGGCCTAAATTTTATATCTAATTTCGCATCAAATAAAAAACACCTTGTTATATCCATTACTGATTGATTGCATCTTCCTGCAGTTTCGTTGAACTTATCCACATATAAGGGGCATGGATCTATTATAACACATTTCTGTTTTGCGAATTCATAAGTATTTTTATTTAGGAATTCTTTCCCGTTATCACATCTCAACTTTTTTACTCTTTTTCTGTCAAGTTTTCTAATTTATTTATATAATCTACTAAGCAATCATAAGTTCCATTCTTAAACTTCATTATGCATACTTCACCAATTCTATTGTTATTGTCAACAATAATTACAGAATGTTTATCTTCATTATAACCATCTATATATGGCCCATTCAAATCCATATGTAAGATTCCTAAGATATTATTTTTTACGTCTATCGTTATGAAATTAAATATTATGCATTATATTTCCAATACAAGTGCCACATTTAAAATGATCATTCTCTAAATGATTAGACAGACCCTTAACTATTTTTTATTTACACAATATATTGAAACAATCAAAATTATCATGGCCTAGCATTCTATAATATATTTCTTTTCGACTCATATTACATGTTACATCGTATGCCAGTTTTTTATCTACTTTACTAAAAATGTGTATACATCATTTATTTCATATGCTGTTGTAAGCAATTCATTCTTTTTATTAAATATTTTTGCAGTATTATTTTCCATAAAAATTTTATTATAATTAATTATGTTACCAACACTCACTAGATTTTTATCAATTTTTTCAACATAGTTAACGTTTTTTACATAGATTTTTTTAATCTTATCATTTAGTTTAAATGATTGATTGATAATATTTATTTTTGTAGCTTTTGAAGTTTTTTTATTGCCTATTTTAACATTAATTGGAATTTGTAGATTTAAATATTCAGAAAAATAATTTAAGTGATTAATAATATGAGCACTATCCAAAATCCGTTCAATTTTATTACTACAATTATTCGCT